CCCCCCATACCCACCTCTACACTACCCATGTGGGGAGTCTGAAGTGCTGGAGAAGACACTGTGAGCATGTGCCTACCTGAGACCACTGGGCAGGACTCCCTGGCTCCTGGAAGAAGTACAAACTTGCTTAAAACTGGCTCAGAGGGTGAAAACTGGAATGAGGGTGAAATTCAATGTTCTTGCTTTACTCCTAGATTTATCTTTGGCAGGAGAGTTTGACCTCATGCAGAGAAGTATTTCTAAGGTTGATGACACAAGCCTGCCCAATGATGAAGGCATCACAACTCTCCACAATTCTGTGTGTGCAGGCCACACAGAAATCATTAAGTTCCTGGTGCAGTTTGGGGTGAATATAAATGCTGCTGACAGTGATGGATAGAACCCATTGCATTGTACTGCCTCACGTAACAAAGTCCAAGTGTGTAAGTTTTTGGTAGTCAAGAGCAGCTGTGTTTACCATGACATACAGTGACATGCAGACTGATGTACATATGTCTGAGGAGATAGAGGAAGACTACACAGAGTGCTCTCAATTTCTGTATGGATTTCAAGAGAAAATGGCATAATGAATACGAGAGTCACTTATGCACTTTGGTATTATGAACTTCAGAATGATGATTTACTTCCCATGAAAATAGGCATCTGTGTGACAGTCATTCACAGGAAAAACCAAGATAAAATTGAGTGGTGGAGAACCACAGATCCTCCTAATCACCATCAGAATGCTCTCAGCTTATGCAAGGCATTTCATATCACCTAAGAACAAGCTTGCAAAATTGTTTGTCAATGTTCTCATTGTGTAATACACACTCCAGTTTTACCCACTGAGGTTAATCCCTGCGGTTTTGGCCAAAGCAGTTGTGGTAGGTGGATGCAACCCACATCCCTGAATTTGCTATATTCATGTTTTTATTGATACTTATTCTCATTTCATTTTTGCCACTGCTTGAACATGAAAAAATACTCATCAAGTCACTTATCATTGCTTAGCTGCTTTTGCAGTGCTGGGCCACATTCTACAAATTAAAACTGATAATGTCCAGCTATCCTGGACATTATCACTTCTTTCTGACAGTTTTGTGATCAATATCATATTGATCACCAGATATTCCTTATAATCCTCCCAATTTGGTAGAGTTACAAACAGGACAATGTAATGGACCACATCAGCAATAATATGGGGTAAAAGCTATGCTTGTGTCTTTCTAGAAGGCTCACCTCATCCTATCTGGGTTCCTGAGCATGCTGTTCATCATCACTATGGAGGATCTGGAACCAAGTTTAAATGACTAAAGCTCAAACCAGACGTGTTGATCCCAATCTCTACTGTGAACAAGAAGCTGAGAAAGAAGAAAAGGA